GCTTGGGGGGGGGGGGGCAGGGTGCACCTGGTGACCTGGCCGACCTGGAAGGAAGTGGCCATGGGAGGGACTTCCCTGGGTTTGGCTAGCTCAGGGTTTGTCGGCAGGACACCTGCTCGCCTGTTTTCCAGATGTCCCACCTGAGCACACAGGTGGAGGTGGGCCCCCAAGACACGGCCTGCCTACCCCTATTCCTGTCCTCCGTGCTCCTCCTACCCCTGCCCTCTTATTCTTATTTCTTCCCCTGGGGCCCATGAGGGTCCACTTTCTTTTGTGTCTTACTCTGGACCACAAGCCCTAGTGAGCCCAGGGGTTCCCAGGGATGAGGTAATTAATTCACTGTGAATTGTTCACTAAGAATTGAAGTCTTTCTGTCACCCAAGGCGATTTTTAAAAAATACATATTTTTATTGATTTCAGAAAGGAAGGGAGAGGGAGAGAGATAGAAACATCAATGATAAGAGAGAATCATTGATTGGCTGCCTACTGCAGTCCCCCCACTTGGGACCAAGCCCTCAACCTGAGGATGTGCCCCCTCCTGGAATCAAAGGTTGATTCCAGGGACCTCCTGGTTCATAGGTTGACGCTCAACCACTGAGCCACACTGGCTGGGCAAGAGCTGGGATGTTTTTAACAGTGTTAGGTAGTTTCAGCCCATCCGAATTTCTCTAGTTTAATCTATTTGATTAGCTAAGGGGCCTCTTGTGTCGTGTTAGGGTTTTGTGAATAAGGCCAAGCCCCATCCTCTGTCCCCACACTGAAGTTGGCCCCTGCCCCCTGTCTGAGTCTCCCCAACTTTCAGTGGCCTCCCTATTCGCCAGTCCCCTGAGCCTTTTTAGGTGGACCTTGGTGAGAGGCTTCCCCGGCCGTGGGACACAGGGTGTATCAGGGCCCCACGGCGGGCCTTTCCTCCGGCTCCCCTTTCTCTGCCCCACAGGCAGATTTTGGTGTCTATAAACCACAGAAGGAGTGCAGAGCACACCCTACTGGGGAAATAGAATTAAAAACAAAATCACCCGCCAACTCAGAAAATCTCCTCGCAAAAGTAGGAGAGAAACAACAGGTTTGTTTTGTTATGTTTAATCCTTACCCAAGGCTATTTTTTCCATTGATTTCTTGTCTGAGTTCCCCCACCTTTCGTGGCCTCCCTGTTCGCCAGTCCCCTGAGCCTCTTTAGGTGGACGTTGGTGAGAGGCTTCCCCAGCCGTGGGACACAGAGTGTATCAGGGCCCCCACAGTGGGCCTTTCCTCCCCTCTCCTCCGGGCTCCCCTTTCTCTGCCCCACAGGCAGATTTTGGTGTCTATAAACCACAGAAGGAGTGCAGAGCACACCCTACTGGGGAAATAGAATTAAAAACAAAATCACCCGCCAACTCAGAAAATCTCCTCGCAAAAGTAGGAGAGAAACAAGAGGTTTGTTTTGTTATGTTTAATCCTTACCCAAGGCTATTTTTTCCATTGATTTCTAGAGAGTGGAAGGAGGGAGGAGGGGGAGAAAGAGACAAAGAAACATCGATTGGTTGCAGGGGCTGGAGAACCTGCAGCCAAAGTACATGCTCTTGACCGGGAAATCGAACCCTGGACTCTTCTATGCGCGGGATGACGCTCTAACCCAGTGGTTCTCAACCTTCCTAATGCCGCGACCCTTTAATACAGTTCCTCATATTGTGGTGACCCCCAACCATAAAATTATTTTCGTTGCTACTTCATAACTGTAATTTTGCTACTGTTATGAATCGTCATGTAAATATCTGATATGCAGGATATATTTTCATTGTTACAAAGCATAGTGATTAATCACAAAAACAATATGTAGTTATATATTCAATATGTGTTTTCCGATGGTCTTAGGTGACCCCTATGAAAGGGTCGTTCGACCCCCATAGGGGTTGCGACCCACAGGTTGAGAACCGCTGCTCTAACCACTGAGCAAATGGCTAGGGTCTTTGTTTTTATTATTGAATGATCATCACACCAGAATGAGATGCACATCATAGGAAGTCCACCAGGAGATTGCGAAGACAGAAAGAAATCTCACCTGTTACACAGCCCAGCGGGTGCAGTCTGTTACACACATGTTCTCCAGGTACACTGTCACTAGTCCTCCCGTGAGAGGGCTTGACCTTTGTCACACAGAGTTCATCCCAGATTCACCTGGGAATGGGGGTGTTTGTGAATTGCCTTTGTCCAGAGGAAAAACACACTTCTCATATCTTTATGACAAGAGGTAGTTTTGCAGCTTGGAGCCAGGTGTCCACCCAGGTTAGGGTCCCAGCCTCCCATGGGGACAGGGAGACAGGGCGCTGCCTCTCTTGATGTTTACATTCCAAAGAGATGGCTTCCAGGTCCCTGAGAGAGACAGTCCTGGGTTGTAAAGCTGGCAAGAGGCTTATTTTGCCTTTGAAATGATTTATGTACATCTCAAAGAGACAGAGGAAGAACCTGTGTTTAGAAGTTTTCTAAAGAAATGTTCTGAAGGAAAGGGGAGGGGTTTCTCCCTTTCTGCACGAGGGAAAAATGTTTTTTCTGTATTTTAGATTCATATTTACCCTTATCTCCCCCACCCCCACCCCACTTCTCTTGACAGGGTCCAGATTCCCAGTCTGGGAAGGGGACCTGGGAGAGAAGAGGGGGACCCTTAAGATGGGAGGCCTCGGGGGCTCTCGAGGGCCCCAGGTAGGGAGCAAGATAAGACAGGGTTTCTTGTGAGGGTGGCTGGACTGAGGTGCCCTGGAGGAAGCTCCAGCTGATGGCCAGGAAAGCCCCATGGTCGCAGCTGCTGGAGCTGATCTGAGAGCCACAGGTCCTCAGTGGGGCTCTTTGGGAGTGTGGGGTCTACGGGGAAGCAGGCGTGTGAAGCCAGAATCCTGTTTGTAGCAGAGGCAGTCCCTGGTACCTGGTGGAGAGAATGAACCGCAGGCTGCCCACAGCCCACCTCTGAGTGCCACAGCGCTGCCAGGTGTTCTCTGTGTGGGGGCTGTGTCCCAGGTCCCGGGTCTTCCTCCGTGGGCACCAAGAGTTCCTGTCCTCCAGATGAAGGGGAATAGAGTATGTACATGTCAGGTGGCAACGTGTCATGGAGGAATGCGAGGTGGAGTTAGGCTTGTGACTTTACCCAGAGTGCCAGGGAAGGCCGTGCTGAGGAGGTGACCCCTGAAAGAGTTGAGGCGGGCCATGCCAAGATCTGAGACAGAACACCCCATGCAGAGGGGCAGCCAGTGCAAAGCCCGAGGCTTCTGAGCAGCATGACCTGTCCCCCATCATGTTCCAGGCACGAGGAACCATCAGGAAATGTTCTGACAACTGGAGCATTAACCATCCAGGTGAGCCATGGATTAGTGGACACTTAGCCCAGCTGGACTGTGTGTTCTTGCATGGAGTGCTCCTGGGGAGGGTTTGTGCTGGGACATGCACGGGGACTTAGAGAGAGGAGGGCTGTGGTTTCACAGGCACAATTCTGCCTTCTCAGGTGTCTACAAGACCTCTCAGGCCGCTAACTTGTTTGAGTTTCTCCCCTGCAGCATCCTTCATACCCCGCCCTACAGATGTTGAGAGCCTAGACCTGAGGCTTTAGTCTGGGAGCTAGAAGGCCTGGGATCTTGCCCTGCTCCACCATTCAGCACCTTTGTGACTCAGGGCATGTCAGTGGCCCTCTCTGACCTCAGGTTCCTCTTCATAAAATGGGAATTATGCCTGTTTTACCTGCCTAGCAGGTATGTGTGCAATTTAAAAAATCCTGCACATTTCAGCCGAGGTCATGGACAGAAAAGCTCTTGAAAAAGAAGGAATGCATTCTGTGAGATGGCACGAGGACTGGGAAAGCCTTTTGTCCTTGTCCCACAGGCCAACTCTGTTTCCTTTGCTCCCATCTCACGCACAGACCGAGTCGGGGCACCGTGCTGATGCTGTGGGTCCCCCGGGATGGAGAGCAGCCTGGCTGGTGCCAGCACAGGTAAGACAGAGGGGGAAAGGTTCGAGCCAACCATGGCTTCCTTCCCTGGCACGTCTTCCGTCTTCGTCTGTCCCTCCAAAGCTGCCCTCACTTAGAAGGTGTCGAATTGCAGGACGTTGAAGGTCTTCAAAGAATGGGACAAAGACAGATTACAGGAGCTAAGAAAATGACAAAGGGCGGTTCAAAACTTGCCAGGCAAGGGAACACACACACACACACACGCGCGCACACACACACACTTTGCCAGGCAAGGGAACACACACACACACACACACACACACACACACACACAGAGACACTGGCATGCACACACACGTACTATTTTCTTTGTTAATTCCTCCCTCCTACTTCCTCTGGATTTATTTTCTTGTCTTTTAAATTTTGGAACCTGTTGTTTACTGTAGCTTCTCTCTTTTGTTCCCAACTGTTTCATTTTACCTACTTTTAATGGAATGTAAACTTTTTATTGAAGTGTAACAAATAGAAAAGTGCATAGTTCAGGAGCTTTATAAATTCTTATGATGTGAACACTCCCATGTCACCAGCACCCAGATCAAGAAAGAAGTCCCTCCTGCCCCCTTCCAAACAGTGCCCGTTATCCTGGCTTCTAACTCATCCATCAGTCCTGCCAGCTTTTGAACTTCATCTAATGGAAACATACAGTCTGTATTCAGTGTCTGTAGCAGACCTTTTCCATCAGGCTGGTGTCCATGAGCCAGAGGAACCAAGCGCCCCTGTAGACCTGAGCAGCCCTGTGTGTGGGACTCGGGAGTAGAGCGGCCTAGGTTTAGTACAGAGACAAGGCTCACCTGTTCTGGTGCTGAGACCTTTCCGGCTGACTTTCTTGTTCTTGCTTTTGTTGAAGAAAACTGATGTTGCAGACGGCCAAGTTCCCAGCAGGTGAGGTGCTCACACACCATGGCTGCCACCCTGGAGAGGGCCCGGCAGTGACACGGGCCACTGAGGGACCGGGCACAGACTCGCTTAGCAAACTCCCAGCACATGATCCTTTGGAAAAGAAGATGTTTGAACTTGGCCATGTTCTGCTTGCTCTCCAGGGAAGATCTTTAACTGTCTCTGTGTCTCCTGGGCCTCAGGCAGAGCAGGGGGGCAGCCGGTGTGTCCTGGCACAGCAGCTTCACTTAGCTTCCCTCCTTGCTTTGTTGTTGTTAATCCTCAGCTGAGGATATTTTTTTCCATTGAGTTTTAGAGAGAGTGGAAGGGAGGGGAGAGGGGAAGAGAGAGAGAGAGAGAGAAGAGAGAAAGAGAGAGTGAGACATCAATATGAGAGAGACACATTGATTGGTTCCTGGGGTAGGGATTGAACCTGCAACCCAGGTGTCTGCCCTTAATCAGAATCGAACCTGCGACCCCATGGTGCACAGGCTGACGCTCTAACCACTGAGCGACCGGGCCAGGACCAGCTTTCCTGTTTTGCATCTGTCCCTTTGTCCTTCTCCAACCCCCAACCTGCCCCTGCCCTACTGCCCTTCCTTCCCCTACTGTCTCCTTTCTCCTTTCCCCATTTCATCTTCTCCCCTTTCAGATCTCTTCCTTGTGCATTCTCCTGCCCTGTCTTATTTTCTGCTGTGCTCTGCCCTCCTGCTCTGTCCTCCAGGCAAGTCTCCCTCGGAGCTCAGAGCAGTGACTGACTCTCCCCGTCCTCTGTCCCTTTGCTTCTGGCAGGAGACCGGCTGGTGATGAAGATCAAGCCAGAGAAGCCAGAGTGGCTGCTGCAGAACCTGGCGCCGCCCGCTGCGCTTTCCAAGGACAAGGAAAACATTTTCCAGCAGCCCCACGGCCTCCCACCATGCCAGGCTTTGGGGAAACCCCGTTCCTTGGGGGGACAGGAGGAGACTGGGGGTCCCAGGTGGACCCCTCCCACTGAGCAGGATGCTGGGCTGGCAGGCCAGGTTCCGGGGGCAGCCCCCGGCCCCCTGAGCCCCGTTCTGTCTGCCAGCGAGGGCCATTTTGTGTGCCTGGACTGCGGGAAGAGGTTCAGCTGGTGGTCGTCCCTGAAGATCCACCAGCGCACCCACACCGGGGAGAAGCCTTACCTGTGCGGCAGCTGCGGCAAGAGCTTCAGCCAGAAGCCCAACCTGGCGCGCCACCAGCAGCAGCACACGGGCGAGCGGCCCTTCCGCTGCCCCGAGTGCGCCAGGCGCTTCAGCCAGAAGCAGCACCTGCTCAAACACCAGAAGACCCATTCGCGGCCCGCCACCTACTCGTGC